ACGCTTCCCTCCACTGGACTGTCTCAGAACAGCCCTGTTAGTCTCAGCATGGCATACGATGCCGCTTAGCCAGGTTACTGTGGGGCGTGGTCTCCATACCTCCTAGTTCAGCCAAGAACTGACTGGTTTCAGAGAATTCTAATCTAGTGAGCTAACTAATCCCATAGTTAAATCTATGGTTCAAGATGGAACACACCGTCCTAGGCTTCTCCTAGAGACTCACAGTGACCTTTAGCACATTAAAGTCTGAGAAGCCTTACAGCCAATACTCCTAGCCAGCTTGGCAAACCTGGGATTTCTTAATGTATTTGACCCCAGAACTTGTATAACATTTCAGTAGCTAATGGCCTATAAAACACATTTGGAGACACACTGCTTTGTCCCAGTAACGAAAGAACAATGTCATGCTTTGTCAGGGACCTTAGTGCGTTCCAACCAGCCTTTTAGCTGGTTTATGACTGGCTCTAAAAATGCATCTGGCTAGGTTTCTAGTCCCATTAACAAAAATTCTAAGGCTCCCTTAGAGTGGAAGTTCTCAGCCTGTGGGTCACGGCCCCCTTAACAAACTCCATCTTCCAAAATATTTACATTATAATTCACAACTGTAGAAAAATCATAGATATGAAGTAGCAACAAAAATAATTTTATGGTTGGGGGTCACCACAACAATGAGGAACTGTATTAAAAGGTCTCGGCATTAGGAAGGTTGAGAAGCACTGCCTTAGACTATTCTTATTTTGAAATAGGCAATTCATATTTTGTATCATACATGAAAGGTGACTTTTATTATCTCCAGTATGGTTATAGTGAATAAATATAGTAAATAATCTTTCCCGTTTCATAGCAGTTCATTATTCATGCAATTTTTACTTGAATTCTATCAGACCTTAAGCCCACTCAGTGGAAAAGAAGGTCTGGGCCATCACCTCTCATGAGGTGGTGAGAGGAATAATTACACATAGCCACAGACTCATAGTTGGCAGAGGTATGAAGCAAAAGCAGGCTTTCGGATTCCGAGTGCTGTAAGAAGAGTCCTGGAGGAAATGCACCCCAAATGCTTCAACCCACCTTCACGTTCCCTTTCTACGATTTATTCTATGTCTCAACATCAGGCTTAAAACTTAAAAGTACACTAGATGTAAAATTTTCTAGAGAATGTTAACTGTCATTACCCTATATCAGGGTAAGAATAAAACTGTAATCTGAACTAACTGATCATTTGGAAGGCTATCAGAATCAAGAAGTGGAAGATTGTTGCAACAAGAAATAAAATTCAAGCTAGTCTGAAGAAAGAGTTGATTCATTTTTTTTTGAAGTACATAGAAAGTGAATGTTAAAACAATGACCAAGTGCCATTACCTCTGACTATACAACAATATTATGGTTTCACAAACTTAGGTTAAATGCAAGCATCTCTCGGTGAGCTGGGTGATAAAGGAACCCAGCTGGGTTAGGAAGGAACACTGAATATAACAGGGATGGCTTGAGAGTCCTGATAAGGTCATGCGATGCAAGAGTAAGACTCTTGGATACTTGAACAATGTTGCTTAGTAATGTTTCTAGGCCCCAAATTAAAATGCCTGGAGACTATGGCAATTATTACAACCAACGCTTATTTAATGCTTAAACTAAAAGTTAACAGTTCTGTATCCCTTCTTCCTCTTGTGGCAGTAGCAAAGGAACAAAACCTGGGTGCTGATGGTATTCTTTGCAAGCCACATTGTGTTAAGTAATTGTTTCATATGTCTTTCTTGCATTAAAAAAATATGAGCCCTTAAACAGACAGACTTTTACAAAGTGAAATCATAAAGTAAAATTTATTTTAAGTGATCTGAGGAGCTGGGGACAGTCGCATGCTTGGGATAACTGTTCTGAATGACTGACATTTCTCTTTTTGTTTATGTCAATACACTTCCCTAAGGAAAGAGCCCGTTAGTGAGTAACACACAGCTTTGATACCTGATTATGTTTCTAAAAATCCAGAAAATATTGCATTTTGCAATCATTTAAAGTGTGGACGTATGATAGATTTTGGATCTATAAACCAGGGGAAAGAAGACTTGGTCCAGAGGGACACAAATTCATGTCAAGAAACAGTGACATCCTAGATATAATCTTTAATTTTTTTTTTTTCTGAATAAAAAGCCTGGCAGTCTTTCACTTCTCAGAATATATGCTATAACCACAGGAAACGAAGTCAAGAAGCCTCCAACTTCTTAACTTGTATGCACCACACTTACAAATAGCTATGGCTGAAGATGAAGTGAGAGTGAGATCCTGGCAGCGTGCCTGAGTGACAAGGCTATCTGTGGCATGTGACAGCCTTGGCACAGGATCAAGGTGATCTCCCAGGGCATGTCCTTAGGATCACACCCTCTCACAGCGAGTACGCTGGAGAATCACTGGGGCTATGAGTCCCCAATTCTTACACCGTGGTTCTACTGGTGAACTTCAACTCCATTTTTATTTCCTCTATGTGTGTCTATGTGTGAAGTCAAAGAAAATTCAGAAGGGCTCTTTTGTTGGCACCCTTTAAAAATCTGTTTTCTTATGGTTTTCTTATGCCTCTACTTCCCTTCCAACCCTTATACCCTAATTCCTTCCAACCCGCCTCCTCCCAACACTAGGTAGGAAAGAAAGAAGGCTAGTGGGGAGAGGGGACAAAGTTCTCTTTAACTACTTTCGGCTTGTTAGGATCATCAGGTTCTTTGGGAGCAAGACTGATCTCAGTCATCAGGATAGTCAGCTCTCTCTCTTCTCTTCTCTTCTCTTTCTCTCTCAGCTCTGATATCTATATATACCCTCTCCAAGTCCTTATAATTAAATTGTCTTTAGCCAGCAAAGACCACACCCCTCTCGGATCCAAGAGGCAATTATCAGCTATGGACAAACTAAAAGCAGCCCCATATTCCACACTTAGGATTAAAATGCAAACATATTTACATAATATAACTGAGTTTTTAAAGAAACCAAAACTTCCACTACATTCCTTAAAAAGAGAAACTATTAAGGGGAATAGACAGAAAGATATTCTCACCATTAGTGTGTTTGTTAGTTGCCAACTTTTTATGACCGATAAAGGCAGCAGAATAATATAAATTCCATACTTGATTGAGACAAGAGTAAAAATCACATCATGTGATGATCACTAACCGATAGGAAAATACAAAGGAGAGGGAACATACAGAGACAATTACAAAAATCAATTTAAAAAACAGACATGCACATATGAAATATATATTTTGAGAGCTACCAACCAATTCTCCTAACACTTATTCAGATTGCCTAAAACATGCACAACCACAATAGAATGACTCTCAATCTCCCCTTAAATGTACAACAGCCAAAAAGGGGAAAAAAAAAAGCCCTGATAATACTACATAGACAAAAATAGTTTAAGTTTTTGCTAGTGAAGAACTAGAACTACAGTCATCATGGGGGCTGGGGAGTCAGTCCAGAGCTTGTGTCCAACCCCTGGGACCCAGGTTAAAAATACAGAGCTAGGCCTGATGATGAACACTTGGAACCACAACACTGGAGCTTTACACAGAGATGAACCTCTGTACCTCACTAGTTAGCTAGCCTAGCCTATGGGGCAATTCCAGACCCATGAGAGAGCCTCTCTCAAAAGACAAAAAAAGCTGATTGAACCTGAGGAATAACACCCAAAGTTGTCTCCTGGTTTCCATATGTACATATGTTCAAGTCTGTACACACAGGTACACACACACACACAAATTACAAATATCACTATTCTATTCATCTCATAAAAATTACATTTAATTTAACTTAAATCTAATTTTAATTTAAATGGTGTGCTTTGGTTCCATCATGGGGAAAAAGCATAGAGTAAATCGGTAGTGAAATAAAGGTGAAGAGGGTTGCGAATGTACAGGAAACAAAACGTAAGTGAACCGAAACAGGGCAAGTGAGTATGCACAAAGTAGACAGTACAAACATGCTGGTTTTAGTCTGGGAACGAGAGAACAACTTTTCTGCTCAGCACCTGTGGAGAGCGAGGAGTCTTACCCCCAGCCCTGTGCTGCACCAGCTAACTGCCAGGACAAGGGGCGGCCGTTCAGCCATCCCCATGGTAAGCCTCCAGCGGGCAGTCTATACTGCTTCTTGCTCCTGTGCCCTCTTGGCTCTGCCTCCTTTAACGATAATGCCTCTCTTCCCTCATTCCCTTTGTCCAGTTCCACTCAGGAATCCATAAATGCCCCAGATCATAAATCTGACCCCTTCACTCCGCTCCTATAACAGTCTACCAAAACCCATTCACTGGCACAGTTGCTCTCCCCCGCACCTCCCTCCCTCTCCGTTAGCTACCAGGGCTGTCTTTCCCACTGGACTGTAAACTTTTCTGTTTCAGCTTTGTGAGCCCAGTATCTAACGCAGTCTGTCACCCCAAAAGATGCTCAAAATTCTTCACTAAATGAATGAACAGACAGGTTAAAAGTTAAACAGCATTGGGCATAGTAAGTTTCCCACTTGTGAACAGTATCATGCTAGAATCCCTGCATTGGATAAGATCTGTGACTTGCTCCTGACACCTATGGGAGCCCTCCCGTCTACACACGTTCCTTTCCACTTGCCCCATCATAGCGACTCTTCACACAGCTTTCCTTACTGCGCATCAGTCAGCGTGGATGGACCTTAGATTGCCAACTCTCCTTAGCAACTGGATTTACAGAAATGATAGCCTAGGGTTGACTGCCATCCTAAAGGAGTCTACTAAAACGTAACAGCTGAGGCCAGAGAGACGGCTCAGTGGCTAGTAGCAGCTGTCACTCTTGCAGAAGACCCAGGTATGATTCCCAGCACACACTTGGTAGCTGACAGAAACTGTAATTCCAGTTCTGGGTAACCCAACGGCCCCTCTGCTGTAAGTGAGCACCTGGCATGGGCACGGTTCATATTACATACATGAGGGCAAAACATTTATCCACATAAAGTATAATAACTACCTCTTTAAGACGATAATAATGTATGTGACTTACTGAACACATCGCCTCTGGGTTTCTGAGGGTCCGTCTGTATCCTGTTGTCGACCGTAAATCCTCGTGTAGATGTTGTGGCAGTGGGTGCTGTGGTCGTCAGTCTGGTGGATGGCCTTTCTGGGGTTGGTGGAGGTGGAGTTGTTCTGAGCTCTGTTGGGAGGGGTGGCGGGGGTGGTGGGGTAGGCTGCGGTGTTGGATTTGGTGTCGGTCTTATTGTTGGCTTGGCAGTGGGCCTGTTGGTAACCACAGGAGGAATATACGGTGTCTTCAAGGGCCACCTAGTACTTCCAGCATCAGGAATCCTATTAGCATGTCCTCCATCTCCCTTTACGATTGTACGATTTCTCTCTGGCACATAAATTGGACCTGAAGGTTCAATCATGACTTTGGGGATATCTGAAAAAAGAAATCCAAAGATTTAAATTAGTATGAAAATGTTTCTCTCTGATGAGTGCAACAGAAACCTAAAAACAGAACTCCTGCACAGAAACACCTCATGCTAACTGAGTTCTATTTCTCACATTTACATTATTCTTGTCTAAAAGAAGTGACACTATTTTCTGAATAACAAATGTGTATGCTTTAGGGTACATGCGGAGAATATATTGGTGTTTCTACAATGAATATGTATTATCTGAAGCACAAAAAAATGTTTTCAATATTTATAATGCAGTAGCAACAGAAATCAGTATTTTTCCAATGGAAAGATTCCATTTCTGTGAGAAATGCAGTGTGTGTGCTGTGTTCCCCTCCTGCATGTGTCCTGCGGCTTAGAACTCTCCAGACTAGGTGGGTCCTTCCCTCACCTACACATTACATGTATGTCACATGTAAGCAGTTTCATAGCTGTCTTTTCTTCACATTTGCTAGTTTACATTTATTCTCTAGAAGGACATTTTCTCAAGTTAAAAAAAAATCGTCTGTGGAATATTTCCCATTGATAATCTTCACCAAAAGGAACCAATATTTAATCTGCCTGGGATGCTATATTTCAGAGCAGGAGTAACCTCACAACACTTCAAAACCCTTTAATCCGCACAATTTTACGCCCTGTGGTTTTTCAGTAAATATTTTACTTGGGAAATTTTTTTTAAAGATTGTCTCGTGTTACATGAAATGTGTGGTAAATTATGGCCTTTGGTTTGTCAAACTTTCATCTTCAAAAGCATGCATTTTTTTCTGTTTATACTACTCCAAAGCTAACTTAGGAAAATGTAAAAGCAGAGCAGTTTTAGAGGTAGAGAAAACAAACCCTGGGATTATTTTCAGCAGTGGAGTGGAGAGACACCAAACAAGAAAGCAAACATGCAGACTATATCCCAGCCATCCCAGTGCGATGCTAACAACGGATGTTTATTTCCGATTCAACAACTTAGAGGACTCCTTTTTTTCCCCCCTAGCTGAAAGGAAGCAACTCCTAGACTTTACTCAGGAAATTCTAAAGCTTTTAGTATTAGAATGCATTAGGAGTCTTTTTTTTTTTAAGTTGTTGTTTTTAAAGTTACCCAGCTAGTGATTTTACTGTTTATAGAAGATCAGGTTGATATTAGTAGGTATGAAAGTCATGTTGTCAACAACCAATAGTGTCCTTCATCTTCCTTAGCAGGAACCTTTGCGAAACTCATATAAAGAAAGGAGGGCGGGGGGAGAGGCGTTACTCACACACACAGTTCAGTCCATCCCCCTCGTATCCTTCTTTACATTTGCACCTGTAGGAGCCATGGACGTTGTAACACCGAGCAGACGTGCTGCACTGATGTTGCCCAAGGGAGCACTCGTCAATGTCTGTGTCAGGGACGAGAAAAACAAGTGCAGGTAAACATGACATAAAACACACACTGTTATGGCCGTCCACATAGAACAGCGGTGGCCAGAAAGAACGCAGTATCGGGCGACTCCAGAGTGGCTAGCGGGTTAAGCAGACATGGCTCATTTAATGCCTGTCCCCGACAGTCCAGCTGTCACCACATCTGGTGACTTCTCAATGCTCTAGGAAGAAAGAGTACACAGGCATTGGGGCAGTTTCAGTACCGTGGCATTGATATTTGCCTCCGATGTACATGAGGTCGAAACCAGTATGACACTTGCAGATGTAACTCCCAAACGTGTTGACACACTGCCTAAACCGAGGGCAGGAGACTCTTCCAGTAGCACATTCATCGATATCTAGAAATAGAAGTTAGTTGTTAACCTTAGGAGGAGCAGAGACGGAAACTCATCATAACTGGTGTCCCCCTGGCTATCTCTGCAACAAATTCCAAACCAAACCAAAACATTCTAAAACCAAGAAATCCCATAACACCCAGTTTCAACTTGTCCTGGTAAGCCGAGGCCTTCTTTCCGCACAGCCAGTATCAGCAGATACTGCACACTCTGTTTAGCTGCCTGACCCAGAGGCCACCACCAAGTCCTGTTATTCCTGCATCTTTTTTTAATATTTTTTATTATTATTAATTACACTTTATTCATTTTGTACCCCCCATAAGCCCCTCCCTCCTCCCCTCCTGATCCCACCCTTCCTCTCCTTTCTGCATGCATGCCCCTCCCCAAGTCTACTGATAGGGGAGGTCCTCCTCTCCTTCTTTCTGATCTTAGACTATCAGTTCTCATCAGAAGTGGCTGCATTGTCATCTTCTGTGGCCTGGTAAGGCTGCTCCCCCCTCAGGGGGAGGTGATCAAAGAGCATCTTATCTTCTACAAATCACTCCACCACTTGGCCGGCTCTTTAAATTTATTTTAAATTTTATTTTCTACGGATGACTGTTCTGACTGCACGAAGATATGTGCACCATGTGCGTGCCTGGGGCCTGAGGAGGCCAGAGGTGGTCAGATCCCCTGGAACTGGAGTTAGGGATAGCCGTGAGATGTACTGCGAATGCGGGGAACTGTGGAAGAATAGCCGGTGCTCTTCGCCATTTGCCTATCCAGCCCGTTGGCAGGTTCTTTATATAGCTAATGGCCCAGGTCTAGCTTTAGGACTTTGCTAGTGATGTTTTTCTAAGACAGACCCTTTCTACTTTTGTTTCTCCTACTGCCTTCTGCTAGCATTTAGCATGGTCAGTGATTTTATTGAGTACTATTTTTATTTTCTGTCTTCCCTACTAGAAGATCAACTTCTTAAGGACTGAAACCTTATGTGCTTTTCATGGGTGCTATGCACCCAGCACTTAGTGCACTGTCTTGGACACAGCAAGTGCTTAGTAAATGGGTCTTAATTAGTGAATAGCTCCATGCAGGGCTTGCTGCATGCTGAGGACTGGGGCTGAGTTCTTCTAAGTTCTTTGAACACACGATCTCATTCAGCACATAGAATGGTTCTGTGTAGTATTATCTCCACTTTAAAGAAAGGGAGACCTAAGCGCAACAAATAGTTCTTTTCCTAACTAAGGTTACATAGCTCGTCTGCAGCTCACCCAGGCTTAGAAAGTCCAGACCCTGCCATAATCTATCCTGCCATCTCAGTGTTCTGGAAACATGCTAAGCCCTGTGGTACAACGCACGTAACGACATTGCCTTGGTGGGCTATTCAGCTCTACTGCCTGCTGGCCTCTGGATTACAGAAACAGAGATCCAGTTTTCCTGAACACAGGGCTCTGTTATATATCAGTATTTTCCCACATGTGGGTCCCTCGGTCTGGGGCTTCCTCCCGTTCCTCGGGTTTCAACAGCAAGATTGTGTTGATTTGTTCACAGAATTCCTCTTCTAAATTACATGATAAGCTTCCAGCAGGTAGTTACATACCTAAGTAACTGCCTTTTCCCTCATACCTTCCACTGTCTTCCTCAACTCCACAACATCTTACAAGAGATGCTTGACCAATGAACTCACCCACACAGGTCCGCCCATCAGGAGCTAGCTGCAGGCCAGGGGAAGGACATTGGCACCTGATTTGTCCTTTGACAACATCACAGCCATACTGACAGTTCGCCATGGAACATGACAGGGCACCTGGAAAGAGAGTGACTGGCTGCCTCCAAGAGGTAGACAGCAGCTGTAGCTTAGGCGCTTTTTTCCTGCAATAGGTGACACCGATTCAACAACAGGGAGTCAGTCAGTTAACCAACATTGTAAGAAGAGTAGAACAGGGAGGAAAGATGCTCTCTGCCACGGGATGATTAAGAAGTAGTTCAGTTTCATCATCACCTGGAGAAGCCCTTTGATGTTTTAAAGGGATTGGCAGGTAGAGATAAAGCCTTCTGTGACACATTTCATTCAGGTAGAACTGAGGTCCTTCTCTAGATTACTTGAGTTAAACACAATTCCTATAAAGTATCTATTTAACTGTCTCATCCACATATTGAAATTCTCTACAGGACAAGAGATTTCCTAGTGAGTCACTCCCACAATGTTAGGGGACTTTGGAACCACTGTCAAATGCAATTCAAAACAGGTTCATCAACCAAAATTCCAGGGATATGTCTATATAACACTAAACAAAATTAGCTACTATTATTCTTTATATAAAATTCAACTTAGTTAATTGATAATTAGGTAAAAAATAACAAATCAGGCCACTACTTGTTGATTATCATAGAAACCTAAGTTCAATTAAAATTTCTGCCTATAGAGACGTTTAGGGTACTGTCCCTCTTACAAACACAATCCTCTTTTATAAAGATATGTGTGAAATGGACCCTCTTAGGCCTAGAGACGTAGCTCAGTTGGTAGAGTGCTTGCCTCACAAGCATGAAGGCTCCAACTCCAGCACCTCATCAAACCAACCGTGGCAGCGCATGCCTACAATCTCAGCACTCAGGAGGAGAAGGAAAGAAGACAAGCCATTCAAGGTCATTCTCAGCTAGATAGCAAGTTCGAGGCTGGCCTGGGATATGTGAGACCCTACTTTAAAAAAAAACCCTCAAATTTTCTGATGCTATATTCATTTTCACTTAAAACAGTTACTCGGATAATTCTTAAGTCATCCTAAAATCTTTATTATCAAGAAATAGAAAAGTGAACTGAGAAGTATTTACGAATCGACCTGATGGATTCTTTCTAAGCAATGCCCCAGTTATCATTAATATTCTTTGACCTGGAATGGTTCTTCTATACTCAGGGAGAACACTAGAATAAACATACCAAGAAAAACATTGTGATTCTTGCTCTAGATACAATTTATAAACCCACTTAATGTTGGCCTGTGCATTATGAGGAATATCGTGTATATAAATGTGCACCTCTTATTTTGATCTTTAGTTCCTTGGGTACACACGTGCGCACAAACACGTTCATATATCCTGTTCAGTAGGGATGGAAAGGCAGCTTTTCCCAAAGGCAGGCTACCAAAGCACACCAGAAGTCAAGCCTAGAGCACTTATAAAAGAGTTAAGATTCTTGACATACTTGAGCAGGACCCGTCTGGCAGCAGCATGTATCCGTTGAGACAATAGCACTTGTAGCTGCCGAAAGTGTTCATGCACCTGTGCTTACAGGGCCTCGGCTTCAGGCCACACTCGTTCACATCTGCAAAGAATGAGGGGTAAAGCGGGCAAATCACAAACCTCAGCACTGACAGAAAACGCCTCTCAAAATGTGGACGGTGAAGGCAACAAATGGACCAGGACAGTGAAAGCTTTACTCCCACAACAGATAAAGCCTGTGCGCATCATCTTAACACGAACGTTACACTGGGAGTAACCAGTTGTTTGCTGGGACCTTCATGGACCTCTGATCCCTGGGGACAGTTGGGAGCCTTCTCCCCACAGATGTGTGCCTGCCTGTAATCCCTACAAAAGGCAGCGGCTCACCGTTGGGTGCTCTGTTGCCTGTGTGACTGCTACTAAGCTCAAAATATCTGTGCTCTGCTATTAGAACCACTCCTGCTAATGGATTCTACCAAAAAAAAAAAGGATGATACTTTTTACTTCATAGAGGACGTGCAAATGTTAGAACACTGGAATGATTTGACCTTCTTAAAAAACAGCTATGTTTTCAGAAGGGGATAAAAACCTATGTGGGTCAAAGTGAACACTGTTGTCCTTTATCTTGTTCAATGTGAAAGGTTCTATACTGACTTCGGATTACAGAAAATTCAGTGTCCTATCCCAATGATCCATCCAAGTCACAAAACAAGTTTTTGAAGCCTTCCAACAAATTTTCATTCATTTGGCAGTTAAGAAGAGCATGTGGAAACACTAAGGAATAAAACATCATTATGTATTTTATGTTTATTGGCTTAACTATCAATGGGAAATTAATGAATTCCGCAATATAAAGTTTTCCAGCACAAACCGTACATTGCCTCAAGTGAACATAAAATTCACAATGACATAAAACACTGAAATACTAATGCCCACAATAGACCTCATTAAAAAGGAACGTAACCACATGTTTATTTTGTCTGGAAATGGCAGCATAAGTACCTTATTAGCATAATTTAATTGTCAATTTCCACATATCACTGAATAAAAATACAGATAATATATCTAGCTACAAAGTTGTTTCCAAATCTAATCAAAGTTAAATCTGACTTGCTCATTTACCAGAGGTATGTGGTATTTGACTGAAACAAGCAGCTATACTACGTTTTAAAGTCACCAAATTAATATGTCATCTTTGAACATTTTCACATCTTACTGACTCTCTCCAACTTGGTCTTTTTTTTCTACCCTTACCACAGAGTAAGCACATTGCCAGCTGGGTAAAGTCTGGAAAGGTTAGATAAATACAGCAAATACTTTGTCATTTCCTACGTTTTCTTCAATTCTTTGCTTTATTGTCTTTTGTCTAGTCAAAGGTTCTCAAAACAGAATCACATTTTAAGTATTTAAAAAGAATCTCTCTTCATAGTAGCTACTTTGCGGATTATTATATCAAAAAAGTTGACTTCTATATCTGTTGACTGGAGTAGGGATGAGCAGAACTGCCTGAGGTAAAATTCTAGTCCCTGTTCATACTCTTCTACCTTTTATTTGAAAAGTTATTAAACATCTGAGTCAGGAAAATCTTCCTTATCTTCTAAAAGCTTTATTATCATCCTTAATATCGCTCCTGCAGAGTCACACTGGCCTGTATGACTCCCTGGAGGTGAGTATTTATCAATCTGAGTATGAGAGAGAATCTTATTTTTTTTTTCTGTGTTTAGAAAGCAAAAAAAAAAAAAAAAAAAAAAATAGAGTAAGATTTGAGTCTGTATTTCAAGAGAAGTCTATGGATGGCTTTTTAGAGTGTTGATTAAGATTCCCTAGTTTATTTTTAGAGAGCAACAGAACTTCTGGTGGTTCCTTACTGGAACCAGCAGCTGTTTATAACTCCAGGCAGCTCACAAGCCAGGAGCATTTGATGCCAGCGGGAGCTCTCTCTGACACTGTGCCCCTGCTTAAAGCTGAGACCCATGGGAGGCGGTGCTTCCATGACCTGGCTGCAGTGCAGGGCAGTGAGGCCCTTAGGAGACCTCTGAGAATCCAGCCTGTTGGCCAGAAGCCCTAAAAACTGTTTTAATCCAGCTTTATCTTTTCTTTCTAATGGGAAATTGCTTTGTGGTTAGGGATCGTGAAACTGAAAGGATATAAAAACTAACAATTGTGTTAAAGATGCTGACATGTAGCTCCCCTGAATTGATGGCTTCTGGTGGGGTGGGGTGAGGAAGGACCCAGTTTTCTTTAAGAGGCTGGTCACTGGGAATTTGACCATGTTCCAGTGAGTATATTGGACTTTTTTTTAACTCCTTGGTTCCTCCTCCTCCTCCTCCTCCTTCTCCTCTCTGCGTCTTTGTGGCAAGTGAGTTACAAGGGTTGGGGGACTGGGAAGTGAGTCTGATTGGGATCCATGAGGTGAAATTCCCAAGAAGTTAATAAAACACTATGTAAAAAAAAAATAACAAACTGTCATAGTTTTAATAAAAATCTGAAAATTGCTCTATGAAAAAAATATGGAAAAGGAAGAACACAGAAAATATCCATGGGTAAAAATGAGGGGCTATTGTCTATATTTCCTGTTATTAAGTGATATGTAAAAATTCAAGCATGTAGAAGCAACTTGAGAAATTGCTCTAGCAGCTGTTAATGGACTGTATGACATTCCCATGGCAGTGGCTGGTGTTATGTTAATATCCCTCATGACTGCCTGGCCGCATCTCCGGCAAAATTCACGATGCCCATTAGCAGATCCACTACAGGCATAATAACACAGGGTTTCAGCCACTGTCAATAACAGACACCAAAGCTCTTGGCATCTTGTTGAAGAACCTCTTTGCCATCCATTTTCTTCAAGGTTTCTAGTCTGAATGATCCCATCCTATTTTCTTTGTTGACCCAAAGCCTTACAAAATTGTGTTAATATGTGCTGTTTCTGATAAATGTGGTACTGGCATTTGTATTTTATCAAATTAAGTCAGAAATTTTAAATGACACTTTAAAATTATGGTAAATATGCTTATAACAAACATGAAAGACTCCTCTTGATTCTCATAGTCTTAAGGAAATTTAAAAGTTGATAAGTAAGTCTAAGAAATAAACTTTAGTGTTTTTTATTTTAAGTTTACTTTAATCTTACCCTGGAAGCATAATATAGATCTATAATAAAATTATAATGAACTCTATCATGCACATATCTTACACTAAAGGATATAATTTTATCCCTTATATTAAAACACTTTAAATAGTATGCACATAATTCATGAAGAGCATTATCATCAGTACATTTAAGCAGGCTGGTGGACTCGGGAGCTTGGAGGGGAAGGGAGGGGTGAGAAGAGAGCTGGTCCAGAACAGAAATGCAAGCTGCATAGCATCATTATTAGACTTCAGGGCAAAGAGAGTCAGAAACTGTATTAGCATGCAGACAATGAAAGGTAGTTTAAAAAAAGAAACCTGGAGAAAGTCATCAAATAAGATAGCCACAGGACTTTTACAGAAAACCACCTTCCATTCGCTTAGCTCCATTTGGACATTTTCCCTTTGATGCATACATTGGATGATGTTTCAGAAATCTAACCTTTATCTCACTAAAGTAAGGTCACGGGCTAACAGAGATCAGAATAGCAACAGCAGTATCTCTCTCTTAATTATGCGCAACTCTAAAATGAACACCATTGTCCTGGTCCCTTGTACAGAACATGTTCAAATTGAGCAAGTTTTCAATGAGTAGAGACAATAATTATCTACAAACTACTTCAGTTATTTTAAGCTAAGTCTATGAGGGGGTAAAGATAAAATCAGGAAGAACTAGACAGTGAGCCCACCACCTTACTCACCTACAGATTTTTCCCATTGCTAGGAAGGTGAGAACCATTTTGGTGATGGGGTCTCACACCAGCTCCACAGATAAGCAGGGCAGGCACTGCTTTACTGTCCCCCACTACAAACTGGCACTAAGACTGACAGGCTTCAAAGAGGTTGCCAATAAACACCCAATGACCCTTCTGACACTGCAGAGTGTGTACCAAAAGAAAGAAGCAAATGGGTGGTTTGATTCCTGAACAAATCTAAAATCCCATATCCTGGACAGTAAGGGAGGAAGGGCACCAAATTACTTCTAAGATCTACCTGGAAATAGTCATCCAAACTCATGGCTTCGTAGAGGAATTCATGATTTCCCCTGCATATGAAAACAAAGGCTATCTTGCTATCTGACATTTGGGAGAAGGCTTCCAAATTCAGAGAAGAGGAGGAAAAGTAATGATACATGATACAGTAAGAGGAGAGAAAGCTCCATGCTTCTCCAGGGCACACAGACTCAGCGGCAGGTGGCAGCTCCCGCGGCCTACTGCCTGTGCTCAGGCTGAGGGCTGGGCACTTCCGCACTACTCCCCGCGTTTGCAAGACGTGACACTACTGCAGGAAGCCTTGCAGGTGGGAAGAGCGGCCACCTGAGACATTGTGCGCTCACCCCTTGAAGGTACGCTTGTGGCTTGATGATCCAGGGGTTGGAAAAGAGGCTGTTCACTGCCTTGGTCAAGAGGAGTTGGGTAGGAGGGTTCATCTTCACAGCAGGGAGAAGGTAATAAGAGTCAGCTTTGAACTGATGTCATTTCTAGCCCTAAAAATCTTCACAAGTATATATTAAACAATTACAAAATGTTGACGGAGCTTAAAAGGACGCTTTGGCTACTTCACAAATAATTCTAATTCTGATTTCCCTTTCACTTTATTTTCTTTCTAAAAATTTATGATAGTTATCTTCCTTTCCAAGGAAAAATTATAAATTAATAATCTACCATTCTCATACCATTAAAAACCAAAAAGAGATTATTAACATGTGACTTTCATCATCAACAGAAGGAAGACACAAAACCAAATTATACAAATAATGACATAGTCAGCTAACCTTGTTTAGGATACTGAAGTTTTAATGACCAATTTAAGATTTATCTTATATTGTTACATTGCTAATAATAGTTTAAAATCTAATGAATATGGATTTTTACCCAAGTCATAACACAATGAATCATGAATCATCATGCTTTCATTCAAAAATGAAAACTTGTGCTATATTTGATTTACGTTTAATTAGAATGAACATTAGAAACTTTAAAAAACAGCGTTAACTGTTGCCATTGGTATTTAACCAACTATGGTGAGATGATTGGGTCCCAGGCAGAACGTTAAAAGGGCAGCCTTTTTGCTTTCTGTTTTACAACATATCCTGTTTAGTCAGCCACGTAACCTTCTAAAGCAAAGGCGCATTTGTTTCTGGGGTTGTGCATGGTTAGGGTGAAAGCACCCACAACTGTGCTCAGCAAGGCAGCTGGCGTTCTACTGCAAGTAGTCCACCCAGACTTGATATCTCGTTCTACATCCTAATTCTACGCGGTTCTTTCCTTGGGATGAAGAATTCAACATATAGAACAGAAACCAATCCAGAACACTAGTAATCAATACATACAAATTGTTTCTTCTGAAAGTAATATAAAATGTGCATTTTAGAAGAAAGTCTTAATTTCTAAAATATATATAATGATATATTTACATGCTAAGAATACTTCTCTAGGTGATACGATAATTTACATGCTAAAAAGAATTCCCTGGTGGAACAACTGTAAAAGAATTTTTTTTTAATATAATAGCAAATTTACTATTTGTAATAGTAAATCTTTCTTGGATGGCGTGGATTTGTTTGGGTAGAGAAGCTGAAGGAGAAGGAACTAGGCATGAAAAACATTACTGGTGATTAACAAGCAGAGAACAAATGATTAAATACAATCGCATCAGAATTGGAGTTAGAATTCCATCCACTGTGAAAGGCAGCATGTGCCTTACAGAGTCTGCTAATGATTTCATAATCATAACTTTGTATCTGATCTTAAGAGCAACGAATCCAGAAAATGACTCAGAGGGAAGCGCAAGCCACCCGGAACAGCCAGACTGTGTAGAGGCTTTAGATGCAGCCAGTTGAACGCACAGCTTGCCCTGCCGTTCTGGTCGCACCCAGGCATCTCTCAGGTACTGGGTCAGTGTCTCCCATTCATTCAGGCTGTTTATTTTGTCACGCAGTTTTCTAAGGCTGCTTCTCAGCCTTAGAATATGACTTAAGATTCTAACCCCAACACCTAACTTTAATCATATGCTAATTTCCAGTTATGTGAAATTACTTCAAATTTACTGCTTCTTGACATTTCTTTCCTTGAGAAAAAAAATCTTTTGATTTCCTGTATCTCTGAGGCATGATTTATACTTTAAGAAAATGGGTGGGCCTAGATAAAAGCAGTTAGTTAATTTATTGTATGGTAATTCTGCACAATTTGCTCTAGTAGGGTTTCTCGGGACTCCAGGCTGAGCTCACACTTAACCCAGGTCATGCCTCCCTGCTTGCGGCCAACAGGCTCAGTCTATGGATTTGGACTGTGTACAGATGTGTTACCTAAAACATCTGTGGAGTTCTCTCAGGTTGCGATGACTCTTAAGACCAAGAGTTGTGTGAATCTGTCATTCTATTAATGAGTATATAAGCACTTATCAAATGTGAGTCCTGTGCTAACAGTCCTCAGGAACCCAGAAATCAGAGAGACTGCAAAACTTTCTTGCTGCCCAGAAATGAGCCTTGCCTGTTGGGATGTGCCATGACCGCTGGTTTTGCAGAGACGGCAAAGTCAGACATGCTCTAAGACACGTGAGCTTAGTTTTCATTTTCAAGTAAAAAGATACTCTGATCTTTTTCTCATGAAAGTTAACATTAACTTCTCTTTCCTTTTTGCTTTTCAACTCTAAGTTTGCAGGTACAGTCAATTAAGAGGAGGAGCCCTGTGCGGCTTGTGAGGAAAAGTGAAATAATCAAGTTTCCAGGTTCTAGTTTCAATTTTTATTGAAAACTAGCATAGCAAAATGAATATGGATTGTGCAAGCCATGGCTCTAAGCCAACACAGCTTTTCTCAACTAGTTCTGTTTATTTAGTCAAGATACCTAATATCTCTCACCTTCAGTCTTTCTGAATGAAAAATGTGGCCAGTTTTGTTATTACCTATACACCTAACTATGACAAATGGTACTCTACTTCCTAAAAGGTTTGCCAACTCACTAGTGGGATAATTAAAAATTCTAGAATGTAAGACTTTCCCAACTTTATGTGTATATTCATTTATTTTTATGTCGTGTGTGTATGTGTGTGTGTGCGCGCGCGCGTGTGAGGTGGTGGCGCTCTATGTGTTATGTCACATGTGTAGCTGTCAGAGCACAACTTTGTAAAGTGAGCTCTCTCCTTCTACCTTTATGTGGGTTCTAGGACTGAAACTCAACTTTCCAGGCCTGTCTAGGAAATGCTTTTATCTGCTGATCTCCTAAAACCCCAGAACGGAAGACTTAAATTACGGATACAACTGTTTGCTTCTTCACAAACACATTTTAATGAGTATATAAGAATACAAGTAAGGGAACATCCTTTGAGAAAATACATGATTCAAAGATTTACCATCCTTATACTAATTCTTTCATAATTGGGAGAAACCTCTATGAAAATGGTTAGGGTGAGAGCCTGGAATTCTTTTTTTGTCTGGAGTAGGGGTGTCAAGGCTTTCAAGCTGATTTCCTACCTTGGTTGCAGGTTTTCCCAGCAAATCCAGGATGGCATTTGCACTTGTTTGGCCCGATGCACTCTCCATGTTTGCACTGCGGTTGACACACAGCTGTGGAAAGAGGACAGTGTGTGTCAATCTCATGTCAGCCGTGCATCTTCTATAAAGCACTAAAGTCATGGACAGCATGATGATACAAAACTAAGAACTCACAATAAAGTAGCAAAAAGTTGTAAAAAAAAGTTATAAAAGTTTCCTTCCTCTGTCTGCACTACGAACCTTCATGTATGCATTCATCACATGTGTAAATACGTTTGCATGTATCATGTGGTGCTGAAAACATTTGTCAACTGAGTGTACTATTCAAGTAGAAAAGGTAACATATCTCTACAAAAATGTTCATACACAATTGCAAAACTTACTCTTTCAAGTATACATCAACAAAATGCTTCATCTGAACTTACTGGGTTTATCTGAACTCAGTAGAGCTTTCCAGACTAGGATGTGGTAGAGAGCTTTCCTAGAATGTGGGAGACTCTGGGTCTGATCAACAATATGGTAAAAAACAAACAAACAAAAAAAAAAGAGAGAGACAGACATTTCCTATTAAATAACAAAATATTTATTTTCTGGGCAGTGATAGTTTAAACAGAAAGTGGTCAGAAATGAAGCAAACTAAGCCAAAACTCTTCGCTGCTTCTACACCCAGACATTCTCATCAGCTTGATCTTCCTTAACCCTGGCAGGCTTTATAGATTCTCTTCAGTTCGGGGCAACTTCCTGCATCTTAGAAAAATTGAAAGTCCCTAGTTTAACCTTATTCTCCCCAAACAACAGTATCCATTTTTCTCAGGAACTCAGGTCTTTTCTCAGTTTGGAAGTTTACTCTGTTCCCTGTGTGTCAGTGGTTTTTCGTGGGGATCCTTTGCACCCTGGGGACATCTGGCAACATCCTGAGACACTTTGGGTTTTGCTGCTATATAGGGAATAGTGGACATCGATATCGTTCAGATATCCCGCCCACAAACTACCCAAATGACAACAGAGTGCCATGGAGCCAAAGCTGAGAAACACTGCCCAGCTATACCTGACCTGTTCATAGTGTAATGGCAGATACTACAATAGTCGAAATATAACAGTCAGTATGATTTCAAGGAACTCACAATTTAAAGAGACAGAGTTTTCCATGATCCTTTCTTAGATTTACTTTATTCTAAGTGTGTGTGTGTGTGTGCATGTGTGAGTGCAGGTGTCTGAAGAATTCAGAAGAGGCTATCAGATCCCTTAGAGCTGGAGTTATAGGCTGTTGTGAGCCACCTACCATGGCTGTTGTGAACCAAAGTTGTACCCTCTGGAAGAGCGATCCGCACCCTTAAAACACCTTGACATCACACCAGCCCCATTACACGTTTTCAATTCAAGACAGTATTTATGTATGAGCATAAAGGTTGGCAAACACACAATGTGTAAAGAAATAATCACATATAGGCTTGAATAGGAAGCCTCATAAAAACGTGTGCTGGATCTTGAAGCCTGGGACCAGAGAAGGAAGAAGGCCTCCCATGGAGAAGAAAACTGTGCAGCAAAGTTGACCACAGGTTAGTAAGAGTCACGCAGGAGGGTAGCTAACATGGAAGAAGAAGAAGCAGTCATTCATGCTTGGTATGGGATGTTGGCGTTCACGAACTCTCAAAATGAGGCGTGTTACCCTATCTGTAGGAAACGGGGGATTCTGTAAGACCATCGTCGACAGGAGAATTACTGTATGGATACTAGAGCTGTGAAGACACCAGTGTGGTGAGGCATGCAAAATGAACCAGTGCTAATTCAGAGGTAAAGAGAGCGATCAGGTCAGAGCAATTAAAGTTCAGGTTGGACCCAGGCAACCATGATTTGTGTTTATGACAGGAAGAGACTATTCGGTTACCATCAGGTGAAAAACAGATAGGCTTTGATCTAGGGCAACGCAGTCGCCATGCCTCTGCCTGCTCCAGCCCATGACTGGCTCATTCTGGGACATGCTTCCAGTCTCCTCAGGCAAGCCTCAAACATTTCCTTTGAGACTCCCGAAAACCGACACACACTGTTTGTTTTGGGCATTCCCTCACTCAGCTCTTGTCTGGCATTCCACAGGGTTGACTTGCTGCCGTTACTGTCAACCTGTGCACTATGCCAGTTAGGTAGGATGGTTACTAATCCCGAGTATGGACTCAAAGCCTACAAGAGAGGATGGGCACAGAGGATGGAGATTTCTCTCTTCAACTCTGACTTTAGACATGATGCACATTCAAAGGGAAAGGAACTGGGTCTTTTTGAGAAACGACGAGCTTTCTAGAAAACCTTCCAAACATTATTCCCACCGAATAGTAAGCAGTTCATTTGAATGCAGTTTTTTTTTTTTTTTCAAAGAAAGTCCTCCAAACATGGTTCTCCATAACATCTAGGCCTCATCATCAAGAAATGCAAATTTGAAAGAAACTCATTTTAAAAAGGAAGTACTCCAGGGCTGGTAAGATGGCTCAGTAGGTAAGGGGGCCCTGGAATTAAGTGTGGTGACCTGAGTTTGACCTCAAGAATATCCATGGTAGACACAAGCTGTCCTCTGATTTCCACATGCATCGAGGCATATGTGCATACACACACATGCATGGCTCAATAACTACTGTAAAAACTTTGGGAGCACTATTCCTTTGATTCTAACATTTCTATATATGAATGTAACCTAAGTAATTAAGTCTCCTGGGATACCCAGAATGTTATACTTTCTTTAAAAGGTAACCGTCATATTTGTTATCTGTAAATCAAAGTGATAATGTCTAGAAAAACTGGAATTTTAAAATATCTGTGAAGATATGAAAAGGAAGCTTTAAAAAAATACCACATATAAACATAAGGTTTATTCAGAGGACATGCTGTAGTACAAACTTGCAGCCTCCAGGTTGTATGGCCTTTGACCTCTGACCACCTGATGGCCATCAATTCCTGTTTTTCTACTCACAAAAGGTTTTTTGTCCTCTCCCCCTTTTTATTTGTTCTCAGCAGGATGCCCTAATCTTAGGTGCGTCAAATGTACACATTCCAAGAGGTCAGGACTGTTCACAGTTCTGCTAAATTTGGGGACTCAGTTCTTTTAAGGAAAACTGTTGATTGCACTTCTCCCTGAGGTAACCAGCAATTACAGATGGCACAGCAGCTTTCAAAGGGGGTAGAATGCACACAGAGCTGATACTAGCCATTGTTTTCTTGAGAGAAAATTGAAAACTGTATGAAAGTTTTCATTAAAGAACTTTCATCCATGATCTTGGTTTTAGGTCTGGGCTAGAAATTGGTAAATATGTATCAAGCATTTATTACACTCAATGTATTATACTGCACATGTTCAAATAGATGGGGGACTGACAGGAGATATGAAGTCAACCACCTGACTAATTTTGTTTAAGCCATGACAGGGGCCAGGATTAGAGAACTGAAAAGAGGAGTACGGAGAGTGACTAACCCCCAGAGCCTCAAGTCTGAACTACCCTCACAGAGGGCAACTGGTAAGAGGAAGGGGCAGTGGGGGCAACAGGCAAAGGCCTCGGCATATGAACAGGTGGGAGAGGGGAAGGCGGGAAAGGGGATTCTCACTGAATGGGAAGTGTTCTTGTAGGTTACAACAGCAGATGAGATCAAAGGATACCCAAGGTAGATCATAAAAGGCCAGCAGGATTCTTCGGATTCCCGCCTTTCCATTTCCTTTTTTGACTTACTACAGAATGTCTTTTTGGTTTTTATTTCCTAGTGCAGGGTAAGTTTACAATGGAAAAATTACATTTCCTATTCTCTTTGGCAGATAGGAGTAATCAAAGCACCAAATTCTGGCATATATATGTCACTGAGTGGAGCCATTAGGATACTGCTCAGCGGAGCCTGTCAAATATGTCTGTGTTCTTGCTGGGACTAGAGAACTACGGCTCTTTTCTGGCCAGTGATCTTGAGAATGGAAAGCAAGATGAAGCAAGAATCATAACACTACGCCCATTCCTTGTGTCACTGTTGCACCGAGCCAAACACAACTCCTAGCTGATCTTGAACACTAGGCTGTAGCATATGAACTTAATCTGTTCTTATCAAGACAGACAAGCGTATTTTGTGTTGCTTTTTGGATACATAGTTGGAAGTCCTGTACTAAGTTCTGGTACAGACATAGAACACACAATTTCTTTTTATATTTACAATACCACATACTCATGCAGGTATGCAAAGAACTTTATTAATATGTATAAGAAAGCAGAAAGCACATGTTCATTTAAAAAAGAAAACTATACAAAATTGGTCCCTCACTTCTGTGTAAGCTGGCCTGACTATTAATAACTAATTCAATTGTAATGTGGCTCTTAGGGGTGAGTAAAACTACATACATGATTAATACACGTATTACTCAGTGAGTTGGCTCATCTACCTGACTGAAAAAGAGAAAGGATAGATGATCTGTAGCAATCTTCCAAAGCATCAAGAGGTGATGAAACATTGAACCTGGGAGCAATAGATCATGCCTACAGATACTGCAGGTAATCAGAGAGGGCAACATGGGTTCTCTGACCTCCGTGAGGATCGGAAACAAGAGAGGCAGATCACTGTTGGCGCACTGTCCCTATCACCGTCATTTAGTTTCAGCTCAGTAAATAAAGGACACATGAGGATCATGGATCTGATAGATTTTTCTCCCTTCAAGATCAGTTACAAGAAGGAAGTACACAGAGGTACATCACACTCAAAACTTATCCCTGTCACATCTGGGGATAAGTGAGGGCACAGAGTAACTTCTAAGCCTTTTTTTTTTTTTTTTTTTTTTTTTTTTTTTTTTTTTTTTTTTTTTTTACTAGAAAGAGCAGCAGGTCTCCACATGCAAAGCAAACACAGCTCTTTGCTGCTCTGAGCCCATGCTTCTTCCCTCTGATTGCGTTCATCGGAACGGTTGCAATCGGGATTCTGAGAGTTCAACAGTACTTTCTAATTCTGACAAAAATATCAAGTTATCCAAAGCTACGAGACAATTAATCTCACACATCAATTTTATAAAGTGTCATATGTAAGTGAATCATCCTGGGAGTCAAGGGCAACGTTTGGAC